TTTAGTGTAACTAAGTTATCATATCCTAAGTTTGTAACGGTTGGAACCGTTATTTCGTTATTTCGACTAATCACCTCTTACTCAAATGGAATTTGTCGTTTATGTCTTGTGTCAAAAGTTTTTATTTTCATTTCATTTGAATAGATCAGTTATTTTAATTTATCGTGGTCATCCGATTAATTAGATGATACATTATTTATGTTAATGGCCTTCTGATTATATAAGGTATGTTTTAATAATATCATGTTATTGAATATATAAATATATATTTTGTACAAGGATTTCTTGAATAAATTGTCGAATTTTAAACATAACCTCAATATCAACAATGAATGACACATGTTAGTTTTATATAAAATTATATATTACTTTTTTGGAATAAGATATTATGCTTTACTATATTTAAATATATTAAACAAGATTTTTCCTTTTCATATTAATTTTAGTATCTGTGAAATTATTCATTTATCAGTTTTAAATTATTAATTTATTAGTTAAAGCATTTGATCTAAATCCTATTCAAATTTCCTATTCCCTATCTTAACATTTTATTCCTTTATTAGCTGATGGCTTTATATAAATGGTTTGATCTCTAGACGGTCTTAGTTCAATCTCTAGATGGTTTTGATCTCATCCCTAGACAATTTTGAGTTCAAGTTCAAGGTCGAATAATAAAGATCATTCACACGTTTCATCCCAAGTCGATTGAGTTTGAATACCATATATCTTGAAGATCATTCACGGTGCAAAATTATGCAGAATTAGGTATAAGGATCCTAAATCCCTTTGTGGAAGTTGCCTGACGAAATACCATGATATAACCTAGATTTACATTTCGTATATTACCTAACTTACCAAAAGATTTAGTACAACTTATGTGAATTAGAATTTGATAACTACCTTATCTAAAGCATGGTTTAAGTATTATTTATTAGTGGTTATTGATTTTCTATATTTTTATCACTAATCTATAGTCAAGTGTATTAAGCTTTAAATATAGTGGTGCCCAACTTCTTTTTCAAAGTTATTCAAATAATTTAAAAACCTAACTCACGCCCTATAAACTGAGCTCAAACACATTATAACAAGTAGATAGAATAACTAGATATCACGTTACAAGTTAAACTAGCGAGTAGAACTTTTGTTTTTAATATAGCAACTCTAATTAAATTAGGTTATAACAAAATTACTTATTGATCAACTCTTAATCAGATTGTAATAATTACAAACGCCCCTTATGGAGTGTTTTCTTAGGAAAAAAAATATTAATAAATAAGTCCGATTTATCTAAACTATCGCTGTTTGGTTTCTCTTAATTTTTTTTGTCCTTTAGCTTCTTTTTTAACAATAATCTGTTCAGTTGCAGAGTTAGGAATTCCATATTTCCTACGATTTCTTATAGTTTTGCATTTAATCTGACTGGCAACTGCAAGAGGTAACATTTTGGTTATTGCAATAGATCTTGGTCAACCGGGTATTTCTACAATTGGTAAGTTAGAAATATCTTAGGAACACGATGGATTTTCATTGGGAGAAATAAACAAAAGTTGATTCTCGCTCTTGAGGTTAAGTTTAGTTATATCACCTGGACCCTGGGTACAAATAAATTATTGTAAAAAGTATTGCATAATCCATAATCCATAATCCATAATCCATAATCCATAATCCATAATCCATAATCCATAATCCATAATCCATAATCCATAATCCATAATCCATAATCCATAATCCATAATCCATAATCCATAATCCATAATCCATAATCCATAATCCATAATCCATAATCCATAATCCATAATCCATAATCCATAATCCATAATCCATAATCCATCATCCATAATCCATAATTCATAATCCATAATCCATAATCCATAATCCATAATCCATAATCCATAATCCATAATCCATAATCCATAATCCATAATCCATAATCCATAATCCATAATCCATAATCCATAATCCATAATCCATATTCCATAATCCATAATCCATAATCCATAATCCATAATCCATAATCCATAATCCATAATCCATAATCCATAATCCATAATCCATAATCCATAATCCATAATCCATAATGCATACTTCATAATCGATAATCCATAATCCATAATCCATAATCCATAATCCATAATCCATAATCCATAATCCATAATCCATAATCCATATTCCATAATCCATAATCCATAATCCATAATCCATAATCCATAATCCATATTCCATATTCCATAATCCATAATCCATATTCCATAATCCATAATCCATAATCCATAATCCATAATCCATAATCCATAATTCATAATCCATAATCCATAATCCATAATCCATAATCCATAATCCATAATCCATAATCCATATTACATAATCCATAATCCATAATCCATAATCCATAATCCATAATCCATAATCCATAATCCATAATCCATAATCCATAATCCATAATCCATAATCCATAATCCATATTCCATAATCCATAATCCATAATCCATAATCCATAATCCAAAATCCATAATCCATAATCCATAATCCATAATCCATAATCCATAATCCATAATCCATAATCCATAATCCATAATCCATAATCCATAATCCATAATCCATAATCCATAATCCATAATCCATAATCCATAATCCATAATCCATAATCCATAATCCATAATCCATAATCCATAATCCATAATCCATAATCCATAATCCATAATCCATAATCCATAATCCATAATCCATAATCCATAATCCATAATCCATAATCCATAATCCATAATCCATAATCCATAATCCATAATTCATAATTCATAATTCATAATCCATAATCCATAATCCATAATCCATAATCCATAATCCTTAATACATAATCCATAATTCATAATCCATAATCCATAATCCATAATCCATAATCCATAATCCATAATCCATAATTTATAATCCATAATCCATAATCCATAATCCATAATCCATAATCCATAATCCATATTCCATAATCCATAATCCATAATCCATAATCCATAATCCATAATCCATAATCCATAATCCATAATCCATAATCCATAATCCATAATCCATAATCCATAATCCATAATCCATAATCCATAATCCATAATCCATAATCCATAATCCATAATCCATAATCCATAATCCATAATCCATAATCCATAATCCATAATCCATAATCCATATTTAATTTGATTCTAAATTGTTCTCTGTTATTACTTTAGTCCACCTTTCAGAATATATTCGAATTTGTGCTTTATTAAAGGACCTTGCACGTGCAGCTGAAGTCTTGGACAATTTTTTTCAAATAAATAATTTTCGATAACTGGATATTTGACAATTTGTTATTTTAACTGCTTACTTTTCGATCATTTAATATTTAATATTTGAAATTTTAATCATATATTATTCGACCTTTTGATTTTGATCATTTGGTTTTGATCAGACGCTTTTCAAACAAATTCAAAGTGAAATAAACGAATTTTTTCCCTAAATACTTCCAACCAATCGCAAGCTGCCATTTTAGTGTTATGCAAAAATCTATGCGGGATCCTTTTCGCTTTCTAAACACTTGAGTCAAAATTTATTTACACGCCAATTTTAGTCCCTGGCAAAAAAAAAATAATTTTTTTCAAGTATTACCTGTTAACACATATAATTCCTGTGTAAAGGCACATATTTTCCAATAAAAAACAAGTATGCCCCTAAATGTCGGCAACATAATATACAATATTTCAAAATATATGTCGCATTTTCTTAGCATGCTATGGAAATAAACGTCATGCCATTTATATTGACAATAACAAAATATGATTGTATCCGAACATTTTCTCAACTTTACCTACGAATATGTTTGTTAGCAGTGAAAGTGATGAAATTATGAGCACTCCACTGGAGATTTTAGAAAAAGCTCAAGCTGCCACACATAATTTGTTATCGCTAAAAAAAATCCAAAGAAAGGTATGAAATAACCTATCGAAAATGTATGGATTGGTCACAAGCATAACGTTAAATCCTTTTTTGGGAATGTTTTAATTGGGCGTAGAAAAAGTATAGTACGTTACACGAGTTGTAAGCCCATTACGCACTCGTGAAATTTAAGCACTCGCCGTTGCGCAGCTTCGTTCGTAAACTTTTTCATTCCGTGCGAAATGGATTACTTACAACTCCTGTTACGTAATATACTATTTTCCCATCCCATTTCCTTGGAAATACGCCATTTAAGCGTCGTGAAAGGAAAATTGGAGGTAGACAGATTTAAAGTATGCATTGTTGATTGTAGGAGTCGTGTCATAAGAACAAAAGACGAAATGTTTCAGAATAACTGTCAAGATGGTGTCGCTTGTCAGGCGTCTAAAAAACGTAAAAGATTGAATGTTAGGAAACAATATTCACCTTTTAAAATGGACGTCCAGTAGCCCAGATCTATTGCCGATTGAAACGTTGTGACATATCAGAAAAAAAAGCTCAGATCAAATCCCGCAAGAACTGTTCTAGAATTGCGAAACCGTCTTCAAGATGACTGCCAACCCATTTTTTTTGCAATTTATATAGCCTGATTCATTTGATTTTCAACCAAGGATTGTCTTGTCTGTCACATCTCTAAATAGTAATGCAAAAACAAATAATCAAAGAAAGTATGTATTTAGATCGGGGATAATCACTAAATAAAAACAAAATCCCTGAACATTGCACAGCTTGGCCGAAGGTCCGCGGTATCATGTAGCGTTCTATTGGTGGGGAGTTCAGTGATTTTATTTCTCTTGTAGAAACATTTTAAAACAATCAAATCTATTCTTTTAATTCCAGTTATATACTTCATAACAATTATCGTCGAAGACTTCTCACATTTTATTTACAACAATAATATGAAAGATTAAAAAATTCATCTTCATCGTAATTACTCCGCTGGATTTCATCCGAATTATTTATTATTTTATTGAATAAAACTAAATTTAAATTTCAACTTGCACATCACCACATTTGCTGCTTTTATTCTAATGATTTACCTGGTGATAATATGTGGAATCTCTTTTACATCGCAAATAGAATGTACTACTGAAATACTTTGATATGATCGAGGTCCAAATACTGCAACAACTCCGTCTTCCAAAATCGAACAAACATTTCGCATTAATGTATACGAATCAGCTTCGGAGAAATTGTTTTGAACTATGGGTACGAAAGAAAATTCTTCATTGTTGTTTTGACTATTGATATTTTCTAGAGCGTAGTTGAAGGCTTTTTCAGATTTTTCGTCGTTTTCAAAAACAGCTCCTTAAATTAAAAAAATAAAATGGTTAGTTATCTATTCTGGCTTGGTGCATGATAAAAGTTATGTCGCAGTAAAATAAAAATGAACAACAAGCAGAAAAATACGATAAAAATCATATAATAGATAAAGTAGGTACAAGAGATGTAAATGAAGTTGTAACTTGTTATATGTTAATTTGTAAGGTAGGAATGATCTTCGCATTCTTACGGGACTATTAAGAGGATTCAGCCGTCTAGATAACTAGAAATTACAAAGAGGATATAACGAACATCTGACTGTCGATTCTGCATGTAGGAAAACCAATCCGAATGCTCCTCCTATGCATTTGCTCCGCTTTGGATGGAAATTGGTGTTAAATCTTTTAATTTACTCAACTGAGCCTACTGACTTTAAACTCAGCCATGATATTCACCAGAAGGTGTGGTTTGTACGGTAAACCATAACTTAGATACTTTCGGGTCGCAGCGGAAGATGAACGCTAATTTGTACTTTGTTATAAGTGCTACAAAAGAATTTTAATGACTTGCATATATAATTATTTTTATATTGCTTTTATATAAAATGCTAGATATGACAATCCTGGACGAAGGCTAAGATGCTTTGTATAATGTCTAAACCAAAAACGAATAGTTGTAGTTACTCTATGTAGTTGTTGACTATGTTACATTGACTGGTATAGCATGATGTAGGTAAACAAGTTTTATAAGTAATTTAAAAAAAAACGACTACAAAAACGTACAGATGCCATCAAAAATTGAGTTTGATAATTTTTTTATAGATCCCTTCATCAGACCTTGACAAAATGTATACGATACCATGCCCAGGTACCCCCTTTCTAACAAAATGAGAATCATAGAAATCGGACAATGTAGTAAATAATTATCGCTGAGTATACGTAAAAACTGAAGAATTTAATTATTTTTTCATGGATCCCTTTATAAGATCTCGACCAAATTTATATGAGACTACCCCCTAATATATCTCCTTTCTATAAAAAACAAACTATAGAAATCAGATGACGTGGTACCTATGAAATTATCGCTGAACATGTACAAAAAAAATATTCCGATGAATTGGAAACCTCCTTCTTTTTTGAAGTCGATCAAAAAAAGATGCCTACTGGTTCTTAAGGCATAATAGGAGCCATGAAAATCACACCAACCAGAACTATTAAAGTCATTCTTAGTATCACTCCCCTTAATATTTACTTTAAGGAGCTTGTTCTGATGACAATGACACGATTCCGCACGTTTAGAATAGAACCTGATGTAGGATCCGGTGAGGCAGGACGTCGCTCACACTGATTTAAGCGAAAGTGTCCTCCATCTCACCTATATATCTTCCATATAAAGTTATAATGAAATAAATAGAAGAGACGGAAGTGGCAAATACGATTCACATCTACACCTATAAAAAAACAAGCTTTAAGATTTGGAATATACTCGAGATCCTTAAACTAAACATAAAATAGGCTGTGAGCAATAGTTCTAGTGTAGCTCTCATAGCAGCAAAAGAAGTTAGACTAAAAAAAAGAAGAAATATCGCTGGAAGGAACATGTTCATCTATATACATAGCAGGCTAGCATTTCTTACTCTGGACAGACCACGAATTTACTAAGGCTAGAATGTCACGAAGCTTTGGCCAAAGTATTCATCAAAAATGAGGTCACCTCAAGATGGATCAAAGGTCACGCCACATCGAAAGGTATTGCTAATTCACTAAAAGAAGGCAGTCAACCAAATAGTTTTTGAACCTGGCCATTTTATTGCACTGACAACATCGGTTGTAACAAACCTAATTAAAGAACATTCCCTTGTGAAATTCAAGAAAATATGGGATTAAACAAGAAGCTGCAGAGTTACCAAGGAGCTTTTAAGTTATCCTGACAACACTGCAGTAAACAAATACTTGACTATGACTAGACATAATCTGCGACGGATCACAGGCATTTTGACTGGACATTGCCCAAGACGGAAGAATCTCCCATGCATGGGACTGTTTGAAACCGCTCTCTGCAGGGGGTGCGAAAAAAAAGATGAGACATATGTGAGCATATTCTCTACGATTGCCCGACGCTCTCATTTATTATATTTTTGTTCGACAAGTATCGGCTAATATTATACTTACAAATTAACCTAAGAGGAAATAAAAGTTGTGTCACAAAAGATAAGAAGACCGACTACAGTAGAAAAACTTGTGGCTTGTATGTTTAGAGAGGAATTAAAATAAATGAAAAATAGTAGAATGCTATTAGTAGTGCTATAAAGGTAGAACCAATCAAAGTTGATATGGGGTATAATGGGAGAAAATGGAGAAAATTACATGCAGCTGACCTAGACTAAGGGGAAAGACCGATATCATGATGATGATCTTTCTGCTTCCTTCAATTGACATTATTTGTACTTTTACACCAAAACTTCCCACCCCTAATAGAGGTATTTCTGGTTAAGTTTGAATTTAAAAAGTAAGTAGGTAGCTACAACAAATTTAGAAAAACATTAAAAACACACGTTTACCCAATTAGTTTAGATTTTGGGTATGGAAAAGCATTCTATCAATAAGGCGGGGTATTTTTAAAAATTACCTATATTAACATCTTCGGACACAGTACTTTTTATAACACAAAAAAGAACTAAATACAGGAACATATTTTAAACCATAACTAAAAATCTAAACGTTGTAAAAATTGGAATTTATTTCATAATGCAAATTTGAAAATGAAAGATTACACAGTTAGCAAAGCAGATCTTTTAATAGATTTTGGCACTACGTTAGCGAATGCAATCTATTTCGTAATGTCTGCGACAAAATTAAATATAGGTTAATTTAGAATAATAAAATTACTTAATTAATTGTTGATAACATCTAGAAAAGGTTTCTGCACCTGTTACCAATACAGGGTTAACAAAAATAATTTAAAATAATAGCGACATTGGGAATATGATCTTGCTCAACAACAAAAATTATTTTCACCATGCAAATACTTGTTATTATTTGAAATTGTGTGATTGACCAGTATTTTTTAAAATATCCATTCTATAAATTTTCACTTCTGAAATTAGGACTCAAAGTTAAACCTAAACTAGGAAATTGTTGATTTAATGGTATCAACTTTAAGAAACAATATGCACAAATAAACATTTGTTTAATGGAAATCTTAATTTAAATTTAATTAACCATTGGATTTTAGACTCCAAGAGATACCTATCTTTTTTTTACTTTTTTTTTTAACTTTTTTTATTAAACAAAACGACGGCGTCACGACAAAAAGCTGTAAGCGACATTGATGAAACTTTTTAGGAGACGAAACAAACATACTACTCCGTTAATTTTGCACGTTTTGCACTTATTTCTTTTTATTAAGTGATCCTAATGGGGTAACCTACTATAAACAGTGCACTCCAAAAGTTAAAGCTATGTAATTTTCGTAAATATTTCAAAATTTGGAGTTTACGCCTTTTTTCAGATATCATTTGGCGTTTACGCCTTTCCGATGGCGTTTAAGTCTTTCGTTTTTAAACAGTTATGTTTGTTTTTGTCGCTTAAGCATCCTTTACGCCTTTTAAATTCACAACAGTACTGTAAAAATATCGGTTCGATTTTTATTTTGTTTCATTACTTACAAAACAATAAAGAATAAATAGAAAATCTCATAGGTATTTTGTAACATTTTTTATTGTTTAATATCAAAAGTAAAAACAATCATAAATATAATTATAAAAAATGGGAGAGAAAAATCGGTTGAGATCATAGAAATAATATAGAAGACCAATATAAACATAACATTTAAGCAGAAATTGAAACCTACTGTGCATAAAAACGCGTCTCTGCGCCTGACATCGCAAAATAGTGTGTCTAGAAGCTTGCGCAATATGCATGACTTGTCCCTGTAGTGTTGCCAAACATACCTAAGAGAAAAGAATTTTAAATTAATTAATTTTTAAATTATATGATTTAAACAGTTTATATCTACGAAATATCGCCACAAAATAACTTATACACATTTAAATAATCAACTAATAATATTTATGTGTAATTACATTCCCAAAAATATATACAAATACCGTATTAATGTCATTAATACCGTATTTTTAATGTTCAATAAGCGATTCACCTACAAATTCAATATTGACCTGGCAATAGCACTAAAATCCGGTGTTTCAAGGCTATACGACGCTGCCCTTACAGGACCGTTTGTAGTTTATTGTTTATGCCGCGTTTGAGAATCCACATCGGATGCATCTGAGATGTAGTAAGTAGTAAATCTTTGATCACGTGATTCAGTATACGTAAATGTAATGGGACAGATGTGTCCGATGTGGATAAAAAACGCTCGAGATGTAAAAAATGCATCCGATGTGGATTCTCAAACGCGGCATTAATTACACGATGAAAGTGGCATTTTATTTTTAGTTTTGTGTAGTGTTTAGTCAAATCCTAAGTACAATAAAAGACATTTTTACATTGGCTAATGAAAATGTAATCAATGTATTAGGCAGCTGTTATATTTATTACAAGATTTATGTCTGCAAATCTAAACCTACCTAAGAATTATAATTATGTAAATAGAGAGCTGTATATTTATATACAGGCTGCCCAGCGACGGGGAGACATTATCGATATCGGTTTTAAGGCATTTTAAAACATAAACCCGATCTCAACAATCTTAGGAACTCTTCTGTCACTCGATATTTTAATCGGTACTTCCTCTTTGCTTTTTGGCTATTTACATTTCTTCATTCCTTACCGCGTTCGAACCAGTAAGGTTTAAAGAAATTTAAAAAAAAAACTACTTTAAAAATAAAGATGTTAATGATTTTCTTATGGATCCCATCTTCAGATCTTGACTTAATGTATATAAAACTGTTTCCTTTTCTAACAAAAATAATCCTAGAAATCGGGCAACGTGGTAAAGAATTATCGCTCAACATACATAAAAAAATATTTCAACGAATTGAGAATATCATACCATTTTGAAGTATGTTAAAAAAAAATTGTTAATAAAGTGAAAAGTAGGGCATGAACATATATTATAAAGTATATAAAATGATAGATAAATCCAGTTTAGAAGGTATTATAAATAAACTGTGGAAATATCGAGAATCTCGATTTTGAATCGGAAAAATATTCTACGCAATTTAGTATGAAAGCTGATCAAAATAAAACACATGAACGACAAACTGTTATTGACAACTTTCTTCAAACGTTTTCTATTTTTCCGAAAACTAACTAGATAGTTCGAAAATCATTTCCTTCGTTAAAACGCCTCTTGTTCCGAAAAAGGTACACGCCTGCCAACATTCATCGTTCATTAAAAAAGTGGTAGATACAAAACGCTTCGTATTGTAAGGCCAAAATATATTTAGAAATCGAAATAGTCATATAAACAAAAAAATCATATGAGTGAGATAACTACCAAATTAATGATTTACAAGTTTATTCCTATTATTTATAAAATAGGTTTGCAATGTGCTGGTGTGGAATGTTATCATAGACTAAAAATTTTAAATCCTTGTATTAAATTGATGGAAAACAAACTATAAATTGGTTTAGGCTATATAGAATGTTTCTAGTAAGCAGCAACTAATTTTTATTATGGAACCGAAAGACCCTTTTAAAAAGGTTCAAAATTAAAATAAAATATGTACCAAGTAAATGTAGTAGTATTTTTTAATTTATATTGAAAATGGTAACATGAAAGGTTTTCTGTCTAACGACTCATAGTCTCGGCTGACAAAATGTAAAAAAATATCGAACATAATATTCCTGGGCCCTATTTTGCACTCCCCAGATTAAATTTAGTTGTAGCAAATGATATTATCAAATAAGATGTCAAATCACAAGCAAAATCTCGTGACTACAGTACTAATGATTGCCTGTTTGGAAAAGTATCTTTGTTTGTAAATATTTATATGCATAGTTATATTTAAATGCGCGAGTGTAATGTTAAGTATAAACAAAATCCGCCCATTATGTATATACGTTTAGTTACCGACCCTAGTAGATAGGCAATTTGTTATTGTTTTAAGTTTTACCGTAGGGAGAGAGAAAATCAATATTAGGATAAATGGTCCAGCTCCTTTCTGGTTACGTAGGTACCTAAAAAGTATTTTAGTTTTTGGTTAAGTAATTAATTATTGTAACAGTGATTTTCTTGTGATAGTACCTAATTTAGATTGTGAATTAAAGTTTTTGTATATAATTTCGCTGTTTAATAATAAACGTAGTCAAAACCGGAGCACGTGGTTTTTCTGGAAAGTATTTTTAAAATCACAAGCAAAATCTCATGACTACTGTACTAATGATTGCCGAAAATTAACAAATTCATATTTCATGCCATATCTTTCTTAATAAGGACTGTCAGAACCCTAACTTGAAATTTTTTTAATCGTTTTTTGTATATAATCATCTCTAAAAATGTATGAATGAAATATCGTGCGAACTATTTGTTCGATCAATAAAAAACTTGCACCGGTCCTGTTCGCGCCAGCACCGTTATACGCATGAGCTCCGACACACTATTTTCTCCTTATGGTTTCATTTTTGATATATGGAATCGGCTTTCTATACTATTTCTATGGTTGAGATCCGAATTTGGAAATGTGCAAGAAAATGAAACACCCAATTCCCCCTACGAAATTATGGAAACCATTCTCAACAACCCCAAAGGTGAAAACAAACTCAAGAAACATTGAAAAGGAAAAAGTGGGTGCCTCTGCGTGTCTTCAAAAAATGTACCAATTCGGATGTCGTTGGCCATGTGCTTCGATGGCTTAATTGGTAGAAACTCGTCGGGTAAAGACTATCTATGGGTAAAGACGATGTTCCAGATTCAACTCCTGGCAGAGTCACACATTTTTTCCTTTCCTTCAGCTTTTTTCAATTTCTCTCGAGTTTGTTTTTACCTTCGGGGTTGTTCTTTCATTTTCACATTTCCAAATTATAATCATAAATATGCTTGAGTGAGGAAACATACATTTTTACAAAATATAAAGACTGAAAAACATAAAAAACTTCTTTTAATAAAACTCCCTAAAAACGAAAAAGTATAAAATCGTAAAAAACATTGTTTTAAACAAAAATCCTTTTTCACACAGCAAAAATGAAATAAACTATTAGGTTTTTAACTTGGATTAAAACAAAACATGTATCTAGGTGCTTACAGCATTGTAAAGTAGAACCGAGCCAAAGAAAAAACTTGTTTTAAAATAGACTACCTTACAAAACCATCCAATCTGGATTTTGTATTATATTTTGTTTAAACAAAACTGTTGTACAGACTAAGAAAAAGAAACCATCTAAAACAAAAATAACTTTCAAATATAATATAAAAAATAAAATAGTTTTTAAAGACATATTTCAAATTATCCTCCATGTCAGTTTCTGGTAAGGCGTCCGGTTCAGTATTCAGCGTGGTACTGCTTTTTTATTTTAAGGCTTTTACAGAGATCTAAAAGGTTATTTAACTTCTTCTTATTAATAGGTAACTCGAAGTTATAGGCACGAGAAATAAGTTCAATCCTTTTTTCAGGAAATGCTACTTCATGGCCCTCCGACTCTAGGTCACTAGCAGTCCTCATTATCCACAGTCCAATGGCTGTATAGAGGCGGCTGTGAAAATTGCTAAAAATTTGATCAAGAAAAATAAAGATATTAATTTAGAGTTAATGTCTTACAGAGCAACTCTCTTCGAATGTGGCTTTAGTCCCGCGAAGTTATTAATGTCAAGAAAATCAGTGTAGAGTGCGTAATGTGGGT